GATCACTCCCTCGGCTTCCTCCCCCACCCACCTCGGCCCCCTTTCCCCAAAAGCATGGTTCTTGGGCTTGCCCGCCCTTTATCTGCCTCTTTTCCAGCACCCTGGGGAGAAAGACCGCTGCCCCCCCGTCCTTGCCCGTCCCTGCCCAAGGAAGCTCTCGGCTCCCCTTGGTCCTTCTCTCCCAAGTCCACTCATTTCCTGAGCGCCTCCTTTGATCGGGGCTGGGGCCCCAGCCCTTTGAGGAACCCTCCCTGGCAGTTGGGGGCTCCTCCGGCTTCTGTACGACTGACCTGAGCCCCAGGGCTGGACGGTCCTTTGGCGACTGGGTTGGCTAATGGCTCGATACAATAGCAACAGAGGGCCTCTGTGCATGTGCTGAGGGCTTTCCTGGCGCTGGGATGCCTTTGCAGCTAAGCTCAGCCCGGAGGGTGGGTGTTTCTTGGCAGCTGGGGACTCTGGGCCCCTCCTCTGTTCCTCCCAAGCCTTCCCTGGCTCTCTTTTCTTAGCTGCCCCCACCCCCCCCACCCGCCTTCAAGCCACGTTTCACCCTCTCAGGTCTCCTCACACCTGACCTGCTTTGGGGCACCATCCCTGGCCTCCCTCCCCCCCGCCGGCAGTCCTCCGGCCATGCCCACCTGGGCTTGGTGTCAAGCAAGTGCCCAGCCTTTCTTTGGGGCGGGGGGGGAGAGGCCCTTTGACCCCACACTCCCAAAATGGCTTCTCTTGGGCTCCCTGTGGTTCTGCTCCCTTGGGGATTCAGGTGAGGAAGGGCCACCGTTTGGGAGCTACTGTACATGCAATGGGGCGAGTGGACGGCCACGTTTCCCCCTGGGATTCTAGGCTGACTTGCCTCCTGCCATCGTCTCCCCAGTTGCCCAGCTGAGCGCCCAACCGAAGCCCCCAAATACTCTCGGATCAAGAACTGGCAGACGGGCAGCATCCTGTACGACACCCTCAGTGCTCAGGCTATACAGGTGAGGGGGGGGTTCTTGAAGCCAGGGGAGGGCACACCACACTGCAGCTGGGCGTTGCAGAATGGGAGGGGGTGCAATGGAGCCTGCCCCCCCTCCGTCGCATCCCCCCACCTCCTGGCAGCAGAAAGTGCCTGCAGTAGCGGGGGGGGTTGCAGAGGAGGAGGTAAGCGGGTCACATCCCACCCGAGGAAGCCCCAATTCCCCCCCCCATACCTGTCCTGGCTTCCTTCGTGTTTTTTAAAAGCAGTCCCTCTCAGTCCCTGGAGAAGCTGAGAGGAGAAGGAAAGGGCTCAGCCACTTTCCTGCTCTTTATCTGGCCTCCAGCAACCCAGCAACTTGCTACTGAGTTTTCGGAGGCCCGTGGGCTCCACCTTACTTGGCAGGTGTGGCCCTCAGGGGGCCTGAAACTCTTCTCTGACTCCATCAGGAATGGTTTTGTTCTTTGCTTTTTGTTTTTGAGCTGCAAAACGTGTGCTTCGTGGGCAAGAAGGTCTGTAGACGTCCTTCACACAATCATTGTCCAATGCCAGCTGGCGCCGGAAGTGGCTGGCGGCAACGCAAACAACCCAGGAGGGTCCTTTGCAGCCCCCAATCCAGAGCCAGGAGTTGCCTAAGATTGCGCCCACCCGCCTGCCCTGCCGCCCGCCCACCCACTCTGCCAGAGACCCCTCCTGCCAAGCTCAGCTCAGCTTCCCCAAAGGGGGCCCAGGAGGGTGGAAGTCCTTCTTGAACCCTTTCTGAACAAGTCATGCCAAGGGAACGTCCAGAGGAGGAGGAGGAGGAGGAGGACACAGGCAGGGAGCTGGGCTGCCCGGGTGGCGCTCTTCTGCCTCTTGCCTGTCCTCCCTCCCTGACTTCTGGAAGGTTTGGGGTGGGTGTGTTTTCCTACCGTCCCCCAGTGCTACAAAGCCCGCCCCCCCAACGTCTTTGACGGGAAGCTGGAACAGAACCGGCTTCTGTGAAAGTGTTGTTCAGCTCCCAGGATTTCCTGCTAGACCGTGAGGGCTTCTGGATGTCCTGGAGTGCGGTGCTAGCAAGGAACAGTGCAGGTCTGAGCAAGCGTGGGTGGGTGGGTGGGTGCGCAGACCTGCATGCAGATGCATACGCGCGCATATGCGCACACAGAGAATGCACAGGAGTGTCGCAGCACTTGATGCCGTACACACAGAGAGAATCACCCCAGAACCAAGAGGAGGAGGAGGAGGAGGAGGACACAGGCAGGGAGCTGGGCTGCCCGGGTGGCGCTCTTCTGCCTCTTGCCTGTCCTCCCTCCCTGACTTCTGGAAGGTTTGGGGTGGGTGTGTTTTCCTACCGTCCCCCAGTGCTACAAAGCCCGCCCCCCCCCAAGGTCTTTGACGGGAAGCTGGAACAGAACCGGCTTCTGTGAAAGTGTTGTTCAGCTCCCAGGATTTCCTGCTAGACCGTGAGGGCTTCTGGATGTCCTGGAGTGCGGTGCTAGCAAGGAACAGTGCAGGTCTGAGCAAGCGTTTGCGCAGACCGACAGAGAATCACTCCAGAACCGCTTGGCGCCCCCTTGGCTGGGAGGTGAGGGTCCACCCGGGGTCCACAGGATGCCTCCCTAGCCCCGCTTGGCCCCTGGCGAGGGAGGCAGGCCCACCGCCAGCTCCAGGCGGTGGAGTGTGGCGGTTCCAAATAGCTTTCCAGTCAACCCCCTGGTCGGCCTTGGCCGTGGCCTTCTGTGGTGGCAGGGGGTCTGCAGGCAGAGCGTTGCTGCACGCCCACCCTCCATCCTCTTTCCCGGCAGCTGGGGTGGGGTTCCTCAGACCCCCCCACTCGCTCGAGGCTCTGCTTTGACTCCGTTCCCAGGATTTTCGTCCCCTGTTTCCTGGGAAGGAACCTGGCCTCCTGAGGCTTCGCTCGGCTCTTGTGAGCAGGTGGGGGAGTCGGCAGGCCCTTTGGCGGGGCAGACCCACTGCAGGAAGGGGCACCATGCTGAGCCATGCCATCTTGGGCTCCCTAGAAGGTTACAAACCAGGAGGGCGCTTGAGTCCCCTGGAGCTGGTCCTCCAGCACCAAAGGCATGAAACGGCAGGGGAAGGAGCCGAAGGGCAAGGCAGGCCCAAACGAAGGCAACGGGCCTGGCCGGATTGGCTCTCCTGCCCTGGAAAGCCGGGCTGCTGGCACTGCCCGTCGCCTTGGGCAAGGCACCCTCTGCCCCTGCGCTGGCTTAGAGGATCCAGATGGGGATGGGCACGTGCAGGCGGTCGCTCAGGAGGTCCAACGACACAGGAGGCCTCTGTGTGAGGTGCCCATGTCTCTCCCCCTATGTCCCCCCTTTCTGCCCTCAGGAAACGCCATGCCAGGAGAAGCGCGGCTGCTGCATGGGCTCCGTCATGTTCCCCAAGCAACTCTTTGCCACCTCCGAGGGCCCCCGGGGCAAGGAGGGGCTTCTGGGCTTGGCCCGCAGCTTCATCCACCTGTACTACAGCTCCATGAAACGGTGAGTCGCGGACCATCTGGCTCTTCCCCTTCTTCCGGCTCCTTGAGCATCCGGATGGCTTGGCAGCAGGTTTGCCCGAAACCCATCCAGGTGGCCTGGCCTTCCTCCCCCTGACCTGGCCGCCCGCCCCCCCCCAAGACTGCAGCCCTGAACCTAAGCTGCTCGATGGCTCTGGAATTGCCATTTTTGGACCCTTCTTTTTGGAAACGCAATAATCCGGCTGACATCGAAACATGATATGCTTTGCAGTCTTTCCTCTCCTTCTTCAGACGTGACCTGTTCTTTTTGTGGCTTTCATGTGTGGAAGCTCCAAAAAGCAGGCGGCCGCTGAAGGACCAGCTGGGAGGGCAGTCAAAGGAAGTGGCTGAGCCTCTTCGGCCACCACAGCCCTTTCATAACGGGGACCCTCCTTCTTGCGGCTTCTGCCCCATCTAGGGCTTCCTTCCGGATCGGATCGTGGCCTCCTGGTTGCACCTTAACTGCTCATCTC